CACTCCTCGGAAGGAAGATGGGGCAATCTACTTCCATAGTGATACTGCCTCAGAAACCCAAGGAGGGGTCACTATGAGTCGGGTCTGACTCGACGGCACATAACAACAACAACAACAGTGCTGCTTTGAGGAGCCCTGGTAGCATAGTGCCTAATGCACTTGACTGCTAACTAGAAGGCTGGCGGTGCAAACCCACCAGCCACTCCTTGGAAAGAAAATGGGGCACGCTACTTCCGTAGTGATAGTGCCTCGGCAACCCAAGGAGGAGTCGCTATGAATTGGGTCTGACTCGATGGCACACAACAACAACAACAGTGCCACTCTGACAGGAATAGACCACCAATGGTATGGCCTTAACAAACCGGAGTTTATTGTTACAATTTGAAGACTTTAAGTCCTAGTTCAAAGTGCCAGGCTCTAGGGGCTGGGTGAAAACCCCTCAACCTTGGGGTTCAGCTCTGCCTCCTGCTCCCAGCCCACTGGAACTAGAGGCTTTTCTTGGCTAAGACAGCTGCTAGCTACTGAGGCTGAAAAACCCAAGGTCGACAAGTGAAAGGCACAGTCCCGATGTTACCAAACCACAGGGCAGGCCATTAATTCAAGTCCGTTGTAAGTCCCAAGGTCGACAGAGTGTGGCAGGCTGCTGAACAACAACACAGTTACATGCAGGGTTCAAGCATGCCCTGAGCTAGAGACCATTCCCCAAGGCTTCTTATATACGGGAAGCAGACCACATCCCTAAGCTACTCAGCTGCTCACAGTGAATTTCACCATGGAGTTGATTACCAGTCTCATCATGGGGAATACTACATCCAGCTGCCCAGCCATTCAACCAGGCCTAGCCAAGTTGACGCACAAACGTAACCACCACAGGGTTCTATCATTTGATGCCTTTTATTTTAAAAAAATATTATTCAGTGTCCAAGATATATTGGGAAATGAAAACTTAGACCGTGTATTCCTTGTTTGTTTGTTTTTTAAGTATTTCTGTTCAAGCCTTAAACCCGTGGCCGTCTAGTCAGTCCCAACTCACGGTGACCCACATGTGCCCGAATAGAACCGGGCGCCATAGGGTCATCAGTGGCTGAGTTTTTGGAAGTAGATCACCAAGTCTTTCATCTGAGGTCCCATTTATTTGTGTGTGTTGTCAGTTCTGACTCAGAGGGACCCTGTAGGGCAGAGCAGAACCACCCATAGGGTTTCCTCGGCTGTCACCTTTATGGGGGCAGAACGCTAGGTCTCTTCTCCTAAGGAACAGCGGGTGGGCTTGAACTGCCAGACCTTTGGGTTAGCAGCTGACTGCTTGACTGTTCCGTCACCAGGGCTCCTCTGAGGCACCGTGGTGTAGAAAAAGGCCTGGACAGACATTTACCAAAATGTAAGAGGTGGTTAACTGTGGGTGAAAAGATTGCTGTTCATTGGCTTATGTGTGTTTTCTCAACATTCTAAAGTTCATATGCATTACTTTCATAAAGAGGAAAAGGTTTTAGAAGAAATGGTTTCATAAAGGAAAAACCAGTCACACAGGTTCACCGGTAACTTGAATACCCATTTAGAATAAATGGTACAGTTACCTAATTGTTGTTACCTTTTAAAAATAACAGAAACTGATTAAAGAAGACATTGTTAAAGAAATATTTCTCTTTCAGGTTTTTACACATGAGTGAAGAAGACAATTTTTGTAAGTAGAAGTGACGTAACATCATTTTAGGATGTCTGATGATGAAGACAGAGTGAAGTTACGCCGTCTTGAGCCAGCGATCCAGAAATTCGTTAAGATAGTCATCCCAACAGACCTGGAGAGATTAAGGAAGCACCAAATAAATATTGAGAAGGTGAGCCTCTTCATTCTCTTTCACAAGAAACGGTTACATAGTCGGATTTGTATTTGTTGTGCATTTCTGCTAAATTTAGAATATTAGGTAAGAGGCTTTGCTAAAATACCTAGTAGCTCTTACTGCGTTAGCAACATCAGCCGTTGTTGCAGCTGGCTTTTCTGTACTGCAGATGCATTTCTCCGGTATTTCTTCCTTACAAATGGATCTGGGGGTAGAGCTCCCCTTCTTAACTGTACATACTGATCTTTAGGGACGCACTGTTGGGTAGTGCGTCACGTGAGAAGGTGAGGCGCTCAGGCTAAGGTACCTGACCTGATTTCATTCACGCTGTGGCAGCTTTTCTTTTTTCTTGTGATTTGGGTGAAAGTTTACAGAGCAAATTCACTTTCCATACAGCAGTTCACATACACTTTGTCTCATGACATTGACCACAATTCACCACAATGCAACAGCTCCCCTCCCACTTCCTCCCCATAGTCACCTCTTGCCTGTGTCCATCCCTCCACGCACTCCTGCCTCCTGAGCTGTCCCCCTGTGCAAAAGCAGCCCTTCTTTCTCCTATGATTGTTCTCTCATGACAGGTTTTCTGAGCTTTAAATGTGTGTTCACTAGTAACTCCTGTCTCCTTCAAGTGCATATGTGTTAAGTAAGTCATTGTGTGCTGCGAGGAGATTTCATTACTTCACTGTTTCCAAAATTAAGAAATAATTGCCAAAAGGTCAGTTGAAGAAATAGGTAGAGGAAGGTAGAACGAGTCTCAGGGACTGTGGTGGAGTTGACCAGGTTGGCTCAGACGGGTTAGCGCCGGGAGGAGTGGCTATGATATCTGTGGGAGCATCTGGTTTATTGAATAATGGGCATTGATTGGGCAAGTTACATTGTCTTATTTGCTGTGGGAGAGGTCAGTAGTAGTTACTCATTCAAAAAGACCTCCCCAGTGTCAATTTTCAGCTGTGTTGCCCTCCATTGATCTTTGTTTTTTTTTTCTTTTTTAATTTTTGGAGGGCGTGGGAGAGATATGGTTAGAAAGCTTTCAAAATAAGCTTGTAGAAAAAAATGTCAGTTTTTCTTCCATAAATACTATCTATCTTGTAGTAGTAAGTCTCTTTTAAGTAGTACAGAAAATAAGTTCCAAGAATATTAAGGTTAAAACTTCAATGCAGATATGAAGGTATCGCTAGGATTAGTATTTGCCATCCTTTAATTTCTTTCTTCTTTATCCTTAAAAATAAGTAATGCTGTGACTGTTAAGGATGGAGAAGGAGTTGTCCGGTCACTGGTTTTTCTTGTCCTGAGTGGAAACAAGGTAAAGGGTCCCATGCCTTGGTTAATGGGGAGGCTGGCTCTTTCACACTATGGCAGTGTAGAAATAGAGTTGTTGTATTTTTTAAAAATAACATTTTATTGTGTTTTTGGTGAAAGTTTACACAGCACTTTAGGCTCCCATTCAATCATTTCAACCCAGATCGTTCAGGGACACTGCTGACATTCTTCACAGTGTGTGAGCATTTTCATGATTGGCATTCTGGTGGTCCTATTTGCATTAATCTAGTTTCCCTGCCCCCTTACATTAAAGTAATTGTTGACTGTTTGGTCTCATAAAGGCAATTTTTTTAAATAGAGTTCTTTTCTTTTGATTGATCATATCAGTGTGGGAAGTTTGATAAGATGTTTCAAAATCCTGAGCTCCTATTAAAGTGGTCAGTTACAAAGGAGACCAGAATTTGGCAGATGAATTGCTTATGAAAGACAGGTATAGGCAGACCATGACCCATTCATGCCGTTTCTTTCCTTTATGGTCCTACTTTTACCTTTGAGGTTCCACATATCTTAGACTTCTGTTTCCTTATATCTATCGTAAACAAAGTGCCTGACCATATTACTCTCAGATCCTAGTCCCATGTACCACCCACTCAGTTGTCAGTGGAAAAGCCAGAACCCTGGGAGAAAGATGGGAAGGGGATGGGAATGGGTCTATTACTGGTTTGATTAGATGTGCCAGACTGTAATGAGAAAATTATCCCAGAGTTA